ATATATATGTGTATATATATATATATATATATATATATATATATATATATATATACACACATATACACATATACACATACAGTGCAATAAGCTTCTTAGTGCAATAATAAGCTACAGGGACTTTAATCTAACGTCGGTAATATTAACTTTATTTAATACAACATTTACATCATACAGCCCATGTAGTATAATATTTTACAAATGATGAATTACAGCAAACATGTGCAATATATCCATTATTACAGCTCCGTGGCAGTAAGGCGATATGGGTCCGTTGTTATTGTGCATCCATGGGTAAAGATAAACGCATGTAGTGCTGAACACGTAACTTGAACGTGTCGGGCGGCACGGTCCCGTGGGTTAGATGCGCGTTCATAATGCAGAGGGAAATAACTCAGAATAATGTTATTAGCACATTTTTACAACTTGAGGAACGAATGTTTTTAATGAGGGCTATACAAGTGTTCATACTGGGTAGTTTATTTAGTTTAAAAAAAATTATCCAACGAGTTACAGACCACTCTTTCCCAATGTAAGTCAATGGGAAAAAGTGTTTCCGGGACCAGCAACCAAACGGAAGTGTAGTACCGCCGTTTGGCCAGCACCAATATTTTCATCTGAGTCCGGCGCACTTCCTGGGGGCTTGCATAATACGCTTAGATGAGTTGATGGCTGCATCGTTACCAAACCTGTGAAGTTTTGGGCTGTTTGGAGCATTTTCACTGAAGTTATGAGAAAACCGTGTTTCATGGCGAGCATTGTGTTGCGGCATTCAACGGCATTTGAAGAAATCTCAAAACTGTCCCGTAGATGTCTTCACGGCTGGACTGTTAGCACACGTGTGAAGTTTGAGCACTTTTTGAACATTTTCATAGGAGTTAAAAAAAGAAGAAGCTTGTACTACATGTTTCCTGTCGTTGCTTAGCGTCTGCGTCGGACCACTCTCTTGCGTCTGCGAGCAGCGAGGGTCTTCTGAGGTCTCCGGCGTCTGCGCACGGGGCGAGCGGCTTGTCTGCGTTTGCTTGGCATCGTCAAAAAACGTAAACTCTGTGGAGGAAAGGGGGGTCTATTGGATGCAGGCTCTGTGATGCCTCTCCTGAAAGTGTGCAAATAGACTCATAGTTCCTCCACAGAGTTTACGTTTTATGACGATGCCAAGCAAACGCAGACAAGACGCTCGCCCCGTGCGCAGACGCCGGAGACCTCAGAAGACCCTCGCTGCTCGCAGACGCCAGAGAGTGGTCCGACGCAGACGCTAAGCAACGACAGGAAACATGTAGTACAAGCTTCAGGGTTCTTACACCTTTTCCAAAGTCAAATTCAAGCACTTTTCAAGCATTTTCAAGGTGCATTTTCAAGCTTTTCAAGCATCTTACAGCTGTTGTCAATTACATATTTATATACACATACTCAAATGATTATTTCCCTACCTCACAATAAATCAGATGTTCTTTATGCTGTAAACAACCAAATGTGTGTTTCGTGATAGCCTTCTACACGAGGATGAACAATTAAAGAAAAGAAAACTAAGTTTAATATTTCAAAATGAGTGACCTGTCCGTAGACTGGGCCTCCCATAAAACCTGGCTGAGCCGATATACAACAATCAGCCAAATAACTTTTCAATACATTATTGATTACTATTGTTGAGGTACTTTTAGGTTGGCAGTGAACACAAGTCAGAGGTACATGGTGTACTTTCACTCCTCTACAGTTCAGAGGTACATGGTGTACTTTCACTCTACAGTTCAGAGGTACATGGTGTACTTCTACTCCTCTACAGTTCAGAGGTACATGGTGTACTTCTTCTCCTCTACAGTTCAGAGGTACATGGTGTACTTCTACTCCTCTACAGTTCAGAGGTACATGGTGTACTTTTCCTCCACTACATGTATTAATCCCTTTAGTTACTTCACAGATCTGGATGAATGATGTGAAATCTAATCAAGTGTTGAATCAGACTTTAGTTCCACCTGGAGTAAATCCACCAGCTACCCTGCAGTATACAAAGTACTTCAAACTAGCTGCACCTTCACCAGCTTTGAGAACACTTTCATGATCAATCATTATAAAACATATCATATATATTATTCTGAAATGGACCAATCTGCACAACGAATACTTTCACTGTCGTTACTTTCACTATATTTAGATGAGAATACTTTTCTACTTTCACTTGATGAACATTTTGAATGCAGGACTTTTACTGTAACAGAGTATTCCTACACTCTGGTACTTCTACTTTTACTCAAGTACAAGATCTGAGTACTTCTACTTTTACTCAAGTACAAGATCTGAGTACTTCTACTTTTACTCAAGTACAAGATCTGAGTACTTTTACTTTTACTCAAGTACAAGATCTGAGTACTTCTACTTTACTCAAGTACAAGATCTGAGTACTTTTACTTTTACTCAAGTACAAGATCTGAGTACTTCTACTTTTACTCAAGTACAAGATCTGAGTACTTTACTTTTACTCAAGTACAAGATCTGAGTACTTCTACTTTTACTCAAGTACAAGATCTGAGTACTTCTACGTTTACTCAGTACAATATCTGAGTACTTCTACTTTTACTCAAGTACAATATCTGAGTACTTCTACTTTACTCAAGTACAATAACTGAGTACTTCTACTTTGACTAAAGATCTGAGTACTTCTACTATTACTCAAGTACAAGATCTGAGTACTTCTACTTTCACTCAAGTACAAGACCTGAGTACTTCTACTTTACTAAAGTACAAGATCTGAGTACTTCTACTTTTACTCAAGTACAAGATCTGAGTACTTTCTACTTACTCAAGTACAAGGATCTGAGTACTTATTACTCAAGTACAAGATCTGAGTTACTAAGTACAATATCTGAGTACTTCTACTTTTACTCAAGTACAAGATCTGAGTACTTCTACTTTTACTCAAGTACAAGATCTGAGTACTTTCTACTTTACTCAAGTACAAGACTGAGTACTTCTACTTTTACTCAAGTACAAGATCTGAGTACTTCTACTTTTACTCAAGTACAAGATCTGAGTACTTCTACTTTTACTCAAGTACAAGATCTGAGTACTTCTACTTTTACTCAAGTACAAGATCTGAGTACTATCTACTATTACTCAAGTACAAAGATCTGAGTACTTCTACTTTCTACTTAGTACATAAAGTACTAAGTAATATCTGAGTACTATCTACTTTCACTCAAGTACAAGACCTGAGTACTTTCTACTTTTACTAAGTACAAGATCTAGTACTTCTAACTTTCACTAAAGTACAAGATCCTGAGTACTTCTACTTTTACTCAAGTACAAGATCTGAGTACTTCTACTTTTACTCAAGTACAAGATCTGAGTACTTCTACTTTTACTCAAGTACAAGATCTGAGTACTTCTACTATTACTCAAGTACAAAATCTGAGTACTTCTACTTTTACTCAAGTACAAGATCTGAGTACTTCTACTTTCACTCAAGTACAAGACCTGAGTACTTCTACTTTTACTAAAGTACAAGATCTGAGTACTTCTACTTTTACTCAAGTACAAGATCTGAGTACTTCTACTATTACTCAAGTACAAGATCTGAGTACTTTTACTATTACTCAAGTACAAAATCTGAGTACTTCTACTTTCACTTAAGTACAAAATCTGAGTACTTCTACTTTCACTCAAGTACAATACCTGAGTACTTATTCCACCTCTGGTAGTGTATTAGTCTGAATTGTAGCCACAAAATGACGCAGAGCTGCATAGAAATAGACTCACAAAGGAAACAAGTGGAAAATAATATTTACCAATGTGTCCAATGATTTGTAGGTAAATCAACTCGAGGCACCTGACTTCTACATGTTCAAAGGAAGACTGTGTTCATTCTACCATTACATGGGATTAAAGCTAAATGTAGTTTTACTTGTATAATACTTCAATTTTATATAAAAGAGAGTTTGTTTTCATCTGTTTTCAAGTAAACAAAGTCTTGGCTTTCAGAATATTAAACTTGTTTCAGCAAATTCAGATAATAAATACAACTTTGAAGCTTCGGCATAATTACAAGCAGAGAACGGACTAATGTAACATCACAGCAGGCGTAACAACAGCCGGTGTTTCTTGTGAGTGTTTCCCCGGTACACAAACGCAAAAATACACAAACGCACTCGCGAGCTTCCCCCAGACCAGTAATACAAACGAAAATGTGTCTTCGGGTCAATGTGACTGATTTCGAGAGAGCAAGTCACATTTGGTTTAGGCACGAAACATACCACCAGTAGAAATACATTGCTTTCAAAATCGCTCTGTGTCGAATCAAGAGATTATATTTCGTGACGATAACACGAGTGCTTCGTCCTCTTCTGCTCGCAGACGCAAGAGAGTGGTCCGACGCAGACGCTAAGCAACGACAGGTAACATGTAGTACAAGCTTTTTAAAAGGTTTTCCTTTTTAAAAGCTTGTACTACATTTTAAATGGTCCTTATGACTATTGCAAACTTTTTTAAATACATTTTTTTTTTTTTTTTATTTCAACATTTTTTGTGGAAAAGGGTTGTGGTCAAAAAGGTTGCAGACCCCTGCCATAGAGCCTCAACCTGGAAGTTTGCAATAGTCATAAGGACCATTAAAAATGTAGCACAAGCTTTTTAAAAGGTTGTGCTACATTTGTAATGGTCTTTATGACTATTGCAAACTTTTTAAAATAACTATGTACAGCGACATCGTCTTTTATGACGAGGGATTTCCATGGAAACGGCATATGATGACACCCCATAATTGACGTAGAGCTGTTGAGGGCAGGACCGTTAACCTCTACCTGAAGTCTGCTGCTCTGAGCGTGTCAGCTGGAGCGATGACATCGTGTTTCATGACACAGGTGTTTCTATTTGAGCTAACGAGGTGTGCAGAGATCACAGGTTTCCATTGTTCTGAATGAGAGATGAACCTCTTACATGTGAACGTTTTGTGGAAGAACCGTAACAGATATCTGTGAAATTTCAAAACGTGAAGCATGTCAAGGAAGTTGAGCATCTGAAGTGTAATTTTTGTGTACTTTCGGGTTAATAATGTGGCCTTTTTGGCAGATTAAGTAAAGGTGTGCGGCTGCTGTGGTGGGGAAAGATGAAGCTGAACTTACAATGGGGTTTAATGGAGACATGTTGAAAGTTTTTGTCACTTCATGCCCTCAAGAGGCATTTGGTTTGTTTATACAATTATTTTTGCTTAATTTATTTAAATGTTTCAAGCTACGAGATGTTTTCCTACGATTGGCATGAAAAATGATGTCTCAGGGATGTAGGGTTTGGGAATTATGGCAGTTTTAAAAGAAAATATGAAGGCAAAATTAAATCTGTCCTCCACTCTAGCTGTGACACCACGCACTCTAACATCTGAAGGCCTCTTTACCAAGGTCTGAACAATGTTTAATATCTCTAAAAGTAAGTAATTGTTTTACACGAATAATGTCAGAAAGATTTGAAACATTTTAAAGTTGGAATGAGGTTTCTGAGTGAAAGTATGAAGGAACAGTTAGCAGTTGAAGTTGCATGAAGATTGTTGAAGTCTGAAGATTTCCTCCATTGACTTCAATGTTAAAAATGTGATGTATTATGGGATGTATCTCTGGAATTATGAAAGTTATGAATGAGAAAAGTAATAGCCATCGATTCCCGACCGAGCTGAACGTTTTGATGTTTGAACGGAGTTTCTGCGATGTTCAATGTGGGAGAAGAAGAGGCGCAAAATAACCCGGCGGAATAATAAAGAATTTTGTGCGTAGCATAACAGATAGTGGGAATGCTGTGTCAGCAATAAGCCTAAAGGGGTAGTATGTCGTCGTTTAACTTATAACACCGTGTGGAAGCGTATTAAACCATGTGAATCTATAAGCTAAAGATGACTCTGAATTTTAATGCTAGGCTATTTTTTCTAAAATGGTGGCTGTGGGGTAAAGTGAACCACGGGCCGTGGGGTAAGTTGAGCCACTTTTTCAATGGAGAAATGAATGAAAGCAGGCCAAGTTGATAATAAGAGCTCATTGTAGGCTACATTTAAAGTTGAATTTACCCTGTGTTTGATTGGTAAGATGTATGAAATTGTATCACATGATTACTTTTCCTTTTAACATGTTAAAAACAAAAATCAAATTAAAACGAAATGTATAAAAAAAATATTTGAAAAACTAAACTTGTATTTGGTTTGTTTCTTATTGTTTAAAGTTCCCTTAAGATTTGTTGTAGGTATACCCAGGTTTGAACAGGTATGCCCAGGTTTGAACAGGTATGCCCAGGTTTGAACAGGTATGCCCAGGTTTGAACAGGTATGCCCAGGTTTGAACAGGGGTTACATTTACCCCCTGACCTGGATCAACTGACCCCTACACTGGGGCAAGTTGAGCCACAAGACCACTTTTTTTTTTAGAAGTATTATTTTCACTGCCCTTGATCAAATGTGAATTATTATCATTGCCATTGATAGGAAACATCTTGAATTATAGGTGTGTGCTTTCATTTGACTATGTGTCATTTCGTCTCGCTTAGAGGACAGCATAACTAAAAAATGGCTCAACTTATCCCACTCTCCCCTACATATATTTATCCTTCACTATATGTCTTAAATGATATGATGAATTGGAAATGGGGGACCCTGATGTAAACAAGACGAAAGTCTTTCTCTGGTCTGCATCCCCTTAACAATTGTATGTTTTGAGCTGTACTGTACCCAATATACAAGCTGTTAATAAACTTTTCAATCAATCAATCAATCAAAGCGCGTATAGCACTTCCTACGCCGGTTTCCCTTTATAAATCACAACCGACTCGAAATGCGGTGCAGCTTTTGCGGGCTTCACGTAACGCCCATATTTGCCTATAAATAGTCAAAGAAACGCCCATTCATTTATTCATTTTGACTGACTTTATGAAGGAGATCGCAGGAAATGACGACAGAACAGCTAAAAAAGACATCTCACACCGTGTCAGATTTTTGATATTTTGGGGAGGTGGAGATAAATCATATTGTTTGGTGGATGCAGTTTGAACCAGAGCAGCAGCATGGAGGTCGGATCGTCACCAAAATAAATAAATAAGTGGTCCGAAAAAGGTTAATGACAAAAACAATACACATAGCCTTCCTCAGGCAGTGTGTTTGTACAGGAGACCCCCCCCCCCCCCCATGATGAGAGACTGTAAGAAGTGATCGGGGAATCCCTCCGGAGTGGAGTCATGACGACTGGATCTGAATTATGTTTTGTATTTGGTGGTTTGTGTTCCAGCTGTCGATCAGCTGTGCGCAGCGTCTCCACTGCAGCCTGTGCGTCTGCGTGGAGTATATAAAACCATGCTCGTATCTACAACCTATAGAAATGCAAAACCGCATCATTTATGAGAAAACATTTCGTAACATATTCGAGGTGGTTTTAAATAACATCCGTATTTATTTATTTCTCCAAGTTATGTTTGTGTGTGCACTGTGGAGTCTCAAACAGGCGTTTGTTAAATCATTTTAAGATTGGCTTTAATCAATGTTTGAAAGTGAATTCTTCATATCTGATAAATGAGGTAACATTTTGTTTATGGTATTATTTCCACATATTTCTCTCCATTCTTCCTTCTGCCAACGGGGTCGCAGTTTCTCGTCTCTCCCGTGGTTGTGCTTAGTGCGTACGCATGGGTTAGAGTTTGCGTGGAGGACCGCACGTTTTCCCGTCAAGTTAGTATTTTATAAATCGCAAACATTGCGTAGAAACTGGCGTACGTCATTTTTTGAGCGTATATCCCTTTATAAATGAGGCCCCTGGTACTTGAGTAAAAGTAGAAGTACTCAGATCTGGGACTTGAGTAAAAGTAGAAGTACTCAGATCTGGGACTTGAGTAAAAGTACAAGTACAAGAGTGTAGGAATAGTCTGGTTGCAGATTGGTCCATTTCAGAATAGTATATATGATATGTTTTATAATGATTGATCATTAAAGTGTTCTCAAAGCTGGTAAAGGTGCAGCTAGTTTGAATGACTTTGTATACTGCAGGGTAGCTTGCTCCAGGTGGAACTAAAGTCTGATTAGATGTAGCCTACTAATCAATCTGCATGATAACTAAAGGTATTACATACATGTAGGAGTAAATGTACAAAGTAGCATAAAATGGAAGCACTCAAGTCAAGTACAAGTATCCCAAAATGTTACTTAAGTACAGTATAGATTACATGTACTTAGTTACTTTACACAACTGATTCTTGCATGTGTAAACCTAGATTTTAGGGACCTACCTGAGGAGGTGTCCCGAGGAAAAGCTCTGAGTCCTCGGCCAGGATCCAGAGGTGACTGCTGCCGTCCTCCATGCAAACTCTCTTAACCTCACGAGTCTTCTCAGAGCTGTCACTAAAGCCATATTAAAACCCGTCCGACCTGCACAACACCGTAAACACACTCCACTTCAGTCGAGGAGGCACAAGCTAAGCTAAGGTAGCTTGTTTTAGCTGCGTTACGTCACCCCGTCACTGTCACGTTGGTTGCGTAACGTGCGTATCATTTACGTCAGAAAACGTGAGCGTTCCAAGCCACGAGAAAACAACATCCCGTAAGGACTTTCAAAATAGAATTAAAACTTTAGATTAAGAGTAACACACGCAATTTTGGGATACTTGTACTTTACTTGAGTACTTCAATTGTTTGCTACGTTGTACTTGTACTCCACTACTTGTATTCAATACATTTAGTAACAAGGCAGATTTGGATTAATGTTGTGACATATACTCAACTCTTAAATCACACTTTAGTTACACCTGGAGTAATTCACCAATCCGCACAATTGACTACTTTTCATTTTGATACTTTAACTATGTTTTAATGCTGATACTTTTCTACTTTTACAGGACTTTTACTGTAACAGAGTACACTCTGGTACTATTACTCAAGTAAGATCTGAGTACTTCTACTAGTACTCAAGTACAAGATCTGAGTACTTCTACTATTACTCAAGTACAAGATCTGAGTACTTTTACTCAAGTACAAGATCTGAGTACTTCTACTTTTACTCAAGTACAAGACCTGGGTACTTCTACTATTACACAAGTACAAGATCTGAGTACTACTTTTGCTCAAATACAAGACCTGAGTACTTCTACTATTACTCAAGTACAATATCTGAGTACTTCTACTTTTACTCAAGTACAAGATCTGAGTACTTCTACTTTTACTCAAGTACAAGACCTGGGTACTTCTACTATTACTCAAGTACAATATCTGAGTACTTTTACTCAAGTACAAGACCTGGGTACTTCTACTATTACACAAGTACAAGATCTGAGTACTACTTTTACTCAAATACAAGACCTGAGTACTTCTACTATTACTCAAGATGTACAATATCTGAGTACTTCTACTTTTACTCAAGTACAAGAATCTGAGTACTTCTACTTTAACTCAAGTACAAGACCTGGGTATTACTATTACTCGAGTACAAGATCTGAGTACTTTTACTCAAGTAAAAGATCTGAGTACTTCTACTTTTACTCAAATACTTGAAGACCTGGGTTACTTCTACATTATCACAAGTACAAGAGCTGAGTACTACTTTTGCTCAAAATTACAAGGACCCTGAGTACTTTTACTATTACTCAAGTACAATATCTGAGTACTTCTACTTTTAACTCAAGTAACAAGATCTGAGTACTTCTACTACTTATCAAGTACAATATCTGAGTACTTTTACTCAACGTTACAAGATCTGAGTACTTCAACTTTTACTCACAATAACAAGACTGGGTTACTTCTACTCTTACACAAGTACACGCTCTGAGTACTTCTACCTTTTACTCAAGTACAAGATCTGCAGTACTTCTACTTTTACTCAAGTACAAGATCTGAGTACTTCTACTTTTACTCAAGTACAAGACCTGGTGGTACTTCTACTATTACCTCAAGTACAAGAATCTGAGTACTACTTTTGCTCCAAGTTAACAAGATCGAGGTACTTCTACTTTAACTCAAGTACAAGATCTGAATACTTTTACTTTTACTCAGTACAAGATCTGAATACTTCTACTCAAATACAAGATCTGAGTACTTCTACTTTTATTCAAATACAAGACCTGAGTACTTCTACTTTTACTCAAATACAAGATCTGAGTATTTCTCCCACCTCTGGCCGTACTTCATTTTAAGTTCAAATGAAGTACCTCAAGTTAGTATAACTGTTTTGTATTGCATCCTCAGAAAGGTTTTTGTATAACCTTTATTTTGGAAGTAAAGCCATGTTCCTGTTGCTCGGTGCTTCATTATGTCTGGCTTGATGCCGGCAACAGAAAATGCTCTGCCCCAAAAGTGTTGCTCAATAAAGGTCAAAGCCTTCCACATTTGGACCTCCAAACTCTCTCCTGGCAAAGATTGATAGAAAATATCAGACAAAGGTCACGTTTACTAGAAGACAAGTGTGTAATACCTGCATCACTTTGGCAACAAACCTTACGAATGAGAAGCCAATTAAAAACCAGGGACCTGTTTGATTCATCTGTTTTAGACCAACGATGCATCATTTGTAATTGAAATACATTGAATTATTATATCTTTTTTAAAACAGTGTATGGGGCACACCCAATGAACCATCTATAAAGCCACACCTTATTATAACCACCATCATCTAAAGAAATGAGCCGGTTGTGAAGCTAATGTAAACCTAAGCATTAACTTCAACTACTCGACACTCTTTCCAGATAATTCCCCGTACAAACTCTTATTTAAATACTTTAGAGTTTGTTTGTCAGCACTGTATGTTTAAGCAATAGCTCACGACAGGCCGTGGTATATGCTATATCACAGCTAAGGGGCGTGGTTCGGCCCGACGCGAAGCGGAGCCCAACTGTATACAGTTTTTCTCAGACGCGGAGGGATACTGACTTGTTGTGAAAAGTAACTACAATTCTACCCGTGGTATACACCATAAGAACCAATCAGATTGCTTGATTTGACTTGTCCGTTTTATAATACTGTTTATACACCAGGTGGAGCCAGAGATTATGACCTGCTGTATCCTTGGACTTTAACATTTCGAGTATACATCTGGATAAAGCAAGTAACATGATTTCATTTCTAAACATTTAGTGAAACTCATTCAGGTCTAAAGTACGGCAAACAACCTTTAGTGACCTCCACAGTCCACATTATTAAACCCATTTAGCAAAGACTCCACTACAACTACAACAAAACATGGAAAACGGAATATATACAGTACAACAAGATGTCAAGCGAAACGCTATCAAGCGATGTTATACTGTAAGAGCGTTGTGTTCAAAACTTGAGGCCAAAGTGCATGAAATATCAGCGATCAGCAGATAAATCATTATCTCATACAAGGTGTTCATGACCAGGACAGTGATAAATGAACAGGTAACCTACTTGTGTTCATCACTGCTGTTTCAGGTGAGCAACACACACACACACACACACCGTCAGTGCAACAGTTCCACTCGCTTATAGAGCGTTGTGCGGCACATTAAAGCTTCTCTTTTTTTATTGAAGGATGTTCAAGTTGGTGCTGCTGTTCCTGGCGCTGTCTGGTAAGATTTCACTCCATCTTTCTTTCTAGTAATGCTCGTTTAAAACCTTGGTAGAAAATATTATAATTTGTGTTCCAGAGTATTATCACACACCTAGAATTCAAGATTTAAAGGTTTCATTGTCATATGCACAGCTATAGTGCAGATATGGCAATGACTATCTTAAGTCCTCCAACCAAGCAACATGTATATAAGAAATAAAACAATAACAATAGTGCAAGAAAAGACAGAATAGAAATAAAATAGTGCGTGAGAACAATGTGTAAGAAGTCAACTCTATACATGTTAAGGCGAGACACCCCAGGTGAATAGGGTAATGTTTTTAACTTAAAGGTATCAGCTAGAAATTTCTCCAGTTAATTACTTACAATAAGGCAATTGTCTTTTGTATTACAAGTTTTCTGAAATAGCATGTTTAAATATGCAAATGATCCATTATCTCATTAAATATGCACATATTTTAACACATTTCAGGAATCGAAATCTGAACTTTGGATATAGCCAGATTCAAAATTCTTGTTTCATTTTGTAGTCATATTAGAATCTAAGGCTTTTACAGAAGGGATATTGGATATCTCTTTATCATTCCATAAATCAGAAAATACTGTCAACAGCCCTAAAATATCCATTTTCGCCATGTTTTTAGGTATACAATGTTGTATAATTCAGGCTATGAATTATATATGAACAAACCCTTCTGTAAAAGCCTTCATAATATTGATAGGAATATAACTGGAAGGTTTGGTGTCTCTACGTACTACTGAAGTTGAAATTTCGAACTCAGAGTAGGAGAAAAAACTCATTTTGAGAAAACGACCTTTAAAGATTGCAGTGAGGCGCTAGCCCTCCTGTTCTTTGGATGACAGCTTGCGCATCGACGCACTCCGTGAAGGTATTTCATGTTCAGGGTCATTTTTTTTATATAACCTTGCTTCGTGCAAGTGACAATTGTTGTCGTCTTCTCTGTGAACGTTTTTTTCGCCGTTCTTTTGGCATTTTGAGATTTCAATTTCTAGCTGAAAGCTAACCAGGAAGTGTTTTAGCACACCACGTGACGCATCTGAACGAATCACGTTGTCAGAAATTGACACCAGCCAATGAGATTTCGTTTCTTGGTTTAAGACCCCTTTGTGCTTTCACGATTGGTTGCTGATACAAAGGAAATGACCATATTTGGATCCGATGAGATTGTGCAGGAGAGACACAGCTTTCCAGCGATACCTCTGTTGACATGGTGCACACAGCGGTCGCGGTACTTTATGTTACGTTAGAATGCTAACTTTTGGTGAATTTAGGAGAAATCTACAGACGCAAATAGACAAACTATAGTAAAATAAACACTTAAATGTGTATTTTGTACGTTTTCCTTCCAAAAGCCTGAAAGAAAACATGTTATGGAATCAAAATAGCACAACATCTCAAAATTGACCAGTACTTGAAAAACGATGTTTTGCCTGCCGTGTCTCGCCTTAAGTAGAATAAGATAAGCTAAAAAATTATGTAAAAATAAATACGGTTTATTGTAATAATAAATAAATATGTGAGCTGTGAATGATATACGTCAGGGGGTCAAACTGAAACACACAGTGGGCCAAAATAAAAAAAATGGATACTAGTCGACGGCCGGACTGGTTCAATGTTTATTGCAAAACTTATTGAAATGAACTTATTGCACATATTAAACCTGGAACTAACAAAGCTTAAATTATTGCCTATAAAAACAACATTAAATAATCAGTTGCATTCATTTCTTATGGCTCTATCTGCAGCTTTTCCAGAGTCATTTCTTATGAGTACATTTTCCCACAGGCCAACAACAGCTTCAACAAAACTACTCCCCTCAAAGAGAAAACCAAACATGCCCTGTTGTCCTGAGAGAAAGTGCAGAAGGAAGCATCCATTGAACTCAGTGTGCTGCTCTGTGATGCTAGCTCAGATACTTGGCCTCTCATCTTGGGGGCAAGGTCATCAATGTTTGGGCTCAGGCTCTGAGCTGAGGAGACCCTCAGGATGGAGTGAAGGTGTGCGTGCAATATACCGGAGGGCCAGATCTAATAGGAATTAGAAATTATCCTGCGGGCCGAAATTAAATCCACCACGGGCCTGATTTGGCCCCCGGGCCTCGAGTTTGACACATGTGATATGAAGGGGTTATAGAATACTTGAATTTGCAGATAACGTGAAGATTGTTTTATCATAAAAATAAATAATTTCTATCTTCTTCTCTATTTTTTTTAATTAAATAATAATTTAATTGCAGATGACCATAAAGGTTTTATCTTATGATCCTGTTTGATATATTTTTAAAATATATTCAGACCTTTTTTTCTGTAGAATATTTATGTTGTATTAATATTTATTTTTGATATATTTTATTAGGTACTTGACCGACTACGACCTTTATCACAGTAATGTGTAATTTATTGCCTCGTCTCTAAAACTACAATGTCATCATAGCCAAATTATACTTTGACCATTATTGATTTATTACACCGTTTGAAAAGCCTACATATGTTCAGGTTAATATTTGATATAAAGGGCAGGTGTCTATCAGGCAACTGGCACGTATACAGTGTGTTTAACACGGGAGGAAGTCTAAGGTATTCAAACACCACAATCACTAGCTTTATGTGAACATCTCAATTAAGTAAATAAGTAAGTAAGTACATAAATAATTAAATAAATAATTTTTTTGACTTTAATCTCAGAATTCTGAAAAACAGTCAGAATTCTGTCTTTTCTCTCACAATTTGATTTCCCTTTTGGTCACATCCCAAAAATGTTTTCTTATGTGGCCCTAACCCCTCGATTCCACCGGGTCCGTCTGCGTCGCGTCACGGCTGCACCGCGGTTTTGATCCGGCCTCCTCCGGCGTCAAACCCTACCGGCCGCGTTTCAGAAGCATTTCAGAAGCGGAGCGTCTTGCCTGCCGGCTCGCAGTTGTTGTTGATTTGGGCATATTTCCTGGACAAGCTACTTTGTACAGACAGCGTTAATAATAATTGTAATATCCCAGTTATAAACGACATGAATCAAAGATGTGTTGCTGTATTTTAGTGGTAAAAAAATGCATTCATCATCGTAATTATTCTATATAATTTACACAGTGCCAAACCGGAGGAGAACGCTGGCATTTCTCCTCCTACTTGAAAGACTACGGAGGGATAGGGTCTGCAAAATGAGTTTATTTTGGGGATGGGCCGGATGCTCTGTCCACTTCCTGCTTGGCGCCTCTGCAACGCCTCGCGTCGAAAATAGACTTGCATCCTATTTTGAGCGGAGCCCAGCGGCGAGACGCTTCTGGGACGCTTCTGAGCCGTAAACGCAGCCGTAACGCAACGCAGACGGACCCGGTGGAATCTAGGGGTAATGCTCTTCCGTAGGGTTTCCATAAATGCAGATCCTTTGCTTTAGCTGCGATTTTCTTCTAGAAATTCTGACTTTTTTTCTCATGTGGCCCCTAACTGTCTTCCGTAGGGTTTTCATAAATGCAGACCCTTGGCTTTAACTGCCATTTAATAACCCCTCTCATCCTGCAAAGTGAAGATTAAAACCTCTAACCGTAAAGTACACATTACCCTTCACAGGCCTCCAGGCTCTTCCTCTTGCTAGACGGTTGCAGAAGACACCTTCAACCTACCAGCTTCCTGATGGCTTTCGACAGGGAACCGAACTTTTCGACATGCGTGAACCAGTTTCTGACTTCAGACAAGGTACCGAACCCTCCAGGAGATTCATCGTGGACCTGAACACCGGTCTGCTGCAAGAACACATGAGCGAGATGGACAGGGGAGACGGTATGAATCCAACTTAATCTAGAAGTAATTTAAAGAGGTTTTTAGTTTTTCATTTGTGCATTTCCTTTTTTCTGTAGCTTTCATCCGTCCTCTAGGAAAAGGATTAGGAGAGATGGAGGGAAGTCACCTGCTGGCAAATGAGGGTGAGGAAGATACAAAGTGAAATAAACACAATTTAACTACTATTTATTCTCCACTACTAAGTAACTACCCTCAAATTAATAACATATCAATAAAAAAAACCTGATTAATCTAAATGTTTTCTGTCTTCCAGTCCCTGAAGATGTTCCAGCCCAGAAGAGCGTTGGTGGTGCTGGTTGGGGTCCGGGTGGACAAACCCTCTGATCCTCATCTCCCAGATGGTTTCAGACAGGGAACTGAACCCATGATGTCTCTCCCAGATGGTTTCAGACAGGGAACTGAACCTATTCATACGGTCCCAGAGAGTTCTAGGGAGGAGATTCAATCTATGAAGTCCATCCATGAGGGGCTTAGGCAGGGAACCGAACCTATTCATATGGTCCCAGACGGCTTTGGGCAGGAGATTACATCTAAGATGTCCATCCCAGATGGTTTCAGACAGGGAACCGAACCCAGGATGTCAATCCCAGAAGGTTTTAGACAGGGAACTGAACCTATGATGTCCAACGCAGAAGACTTGAGCCAGGGAACAGAACCTATTCATACGGCCCCAGAGAGTTTTAGGGAGGAGATTCAATCCATGATGTCCATCCATGAGGGCTTGAGCCAGGGAACAGAACCTATTCATATGGTCCCAGATGGCTTTGGGCAGGAAATTAAATCTAAGATGTCCATCCCAGAGGGTTTTAGACAGGGAACCGAACCTATGATCTCCATCCCAGAAGACTTGAGCCAGGGAACCGAACCTATTCATACGGCCCCAGAGAGTTTTAGGGAGGAGATTCAATCTATGATGTCCATCCATGAGGGTTTTAGGCAGGGAACCGAATCCATGATGTCCATCCCAGATGGTTTGAGCCAGGGAACAGAACCTATTCATATGGTCCCAGACGGCTTTGGGCAGGAAATTAAATCTAAGATGTCCATCCCAGATGGTTTCAGACAGGGAACCGAACCTATGATGTCAATCCCAGAGGGTTTTAGGCAGGGAACCAAACCTATGATGTCAATCCCAGAAGACTTGAGCCAGGGAACAGAACCTATTCATACGGCCCCAGAGAGTTTTAGGGAGAAGATTCAATCTATGATGTCCATCCATGAGGGTTTTAGGCAGGGAACCAAATCCATGATGTCCATCCCAGATGGTTTGAGACAGGGAACCAAACCGATGATGTCAATCCCAGATAGTTTTAGGCAGGAAATCGAACCTATTCATATGGTCCCAGACGGCTTTAGGCAGGGAACCGAACCCATGATGTCCATCCCAGAAGGCTTTAGGCAGGGAACCGAACCCATGATGTCCATCCCAGAAGGCTTTAGGCAGGGAACCGAACCCATGATGTCCATCCCAGAAGGCTTTAGGCAGGGAACCGAACCCATGATGTCCATCCCAGAAGGCTTTAGGCAGGGAACCGAACCCATGATGTCCATCCCAGAAGGCTTAAGGCAGGGAACCGAACCCATGATGTCCATCCCAGAAGGCTTCAGGCAGGGAACCGAACCCATGATGTCCATCCCAGAAGGCTTTAGGCAGGGAACCGAACCCATGATGTCCATCCCAGAAGGCTTCAGGCAGGGAACCGAACCCATGATGTCCATCCCAGAAGGCTTCAGGCAGGGAACCGAACCCATGATGTCCATCCCAGAAGGCTTCAGGCAGGGAACCGAACCCATGATGTCCATCCAGAAGGGCTTCAGGCAGGAACCTAACTATGATGTCCATCCCAGAAGGCTTCAGGCAGGGAACCGAACCCATGATGTCCATCCCAGAAGGCTTCAGGCAGGGAACCGAACCTATGATGTCCATCCCAGAAGGCTTCAGACAGGGAACCGAACCTTTGATCCCAGAAGGTTTCAGGCAGGCAACTGAACACTCCGCCCCCGAGCTCCAGACAAAGACAGTGGCATGTAAGGGACATCATTAATGGGAACGGTTATGAGGTCAATCCCACACCGCTGACCTCCAAGATGCTCAGGTAGGACACATTACATCCAATATGTATAACTGTGATTCTAGTAAATCAAATCTTGAATAATGCTAATAACACACATAAGATAATGTGGTATATAAATAATCCACTGCCTTGTTTTAATATATTCTTGCATTTTGTGTGCTTTGTACTCTCTCCACCCTCATTCCCACCATTTGTACGTCACCGTAGTTTTGAATCTGCTTTTGGCTCCATGAATTAAATCTCACTCTTGTGTCTCCAGGCAATGCAGATCTCTGCCCCAAATGCTGACTTGCATCTGTAACAACCGGAGATCTGCATTCACGCCTGGTTTCTCTCTCGAGCAAACGGTGGTGAAAACAACCCGGTGTTGACGTGGATAGGAGGCACGGTCAAGGCAAGTCATACAGAATAAATGTTTTGGAAAAGCTGTCTCACATCACACTTTTTGTATGACCATGTACTGTGACGCAGGAAGGAGGCCAAGGAGAGTATCATCAGATATGTTATCAACAGGGCAGATAGTGTCAGTCTCACCTTGGTGAAACATTGACCTGTGGACTCCATTTGTTTCTGTGCTGTCACTTAACAAGGCCAGAAAGTAAAACAAATGTTTCTAATACTTCAGTGTTTTTTGCCTAAAATATCCTACACAGGACTTTTAAATTGTGTTAAAGCTGTATTTACACTAGACCAAAAGATCAGAATACTTTATAAAACATGTTTTAATGAAAGTTTCATGCGTGCATATTATAATAAGCTGTATGTGTGTTGATTTGGCACACCTCAGAACCAGAAGGCATCATGGGTAGACGGGTCGGACTGGAGTTACAGCGACTGGATGCCCGGACACCCCAACATCCACACTGATAAACCAGTGTGTGTGGAGATGTTCAAGATAGGTAAGAACACCACACACACATATTTACACACACCAATGACTGATTAAGTGGTACAACTAAATATGTAAGAAAGAAGACTACAGTGCAGCGACAAAAAAGGGTTATGGATCAGAGAAGCTCATAAGTCAAGGAAAGTTTGATACAAAACTTGTGAGGGAATATTTCCCCTTAAGCACTAATGGAAACTTGTTCTGTCCCTTTAGCACAATTGAAAATGTAAATTAATACTAGTAGGCACATATTAGGTCATATTTATACAAAATGGTCTTAGAAATATCCTCAGTGAGTCTATTCTGTCCCTACCCTTTTCTGCAGATGAGAGCTGGTGGACGGCGGCTGACTGTGACCTGAAGAGAGCGTCCATCTGCTCATACCAGATCACTGCATGAAAACCACAGAGAAACAACCGTTTTTAACAATCTAACGGACAAATATGTTTCCATCGTCTGCATCTGTTGAATAAAACATGGCATTTTACATCCGAGTGCTTCTGTTTCATATCTTTTAATACCCATCTTCATCCTTCAAAAACACCATCCAAATCACTTAAATTTAGACAAGACTTTAATGATCATTTTCCACTTGTGTATACAAAGCAGTTTATACAGATTAGGGAGCCAAGTTAAAACACATTTGTTACAATTTAGTACCTGGAAAGTGCAAAAGTACATTTCAAATACGCTGAAATAAAAATCATGCTGTACATTATATATTGTATTCATAAATAATCACAGATATACACACATCCATTTGGTGACGGACACAGAGAATAATGCTAAGACACAAAATAGTACTTTTCGAAGTCCTATGCTCTTGGTTTTCCCGTTGAAACTGGGGGGGTTTAAAACATCTGGAATGCTGCTTTAGTTTGGATTTACACTACGGTCAAAACGATAAGCTTCGGTAACGAGAGAAACCTGTGTCAATGCCACACCGGGATAAAGGCACTCCGTTTGTTGCAGTCGTGGAACAACTCAAACAGTGGTCTGATGTCTGAATGACAAATGAGGATGAACAACAACACAGAACATCTCAAAAACAAGGACGCAGATTGGTCTCCATGTTGCTGTGACACTTAAATAAAAACACAAAAAGAAAGAAGAACCGCTGGGACCCCAAAAACTCACCGGCTGCCACAGAATCAGAAAACACCACATCAACAGAGATTGGCTATAAAAAATAAACACACACACACACACACAGGAGCTTCATTCCGTGGCTTCTTGGGATTCTAATATCAGTAAAGAAATCACATTCGAACAACAAGGCATGCAGAACCTCCTCGATGACCTGAAAAATCACTTCACAATGAGCAGGAAGGAGATAAGACACAGGATGAGGCAATGATGAACAGGAGAAAGAATTAGGGTGCATGTATTGTTCCAGAAGCTACAGGAAGACAGGTGTATTGCTGCTAACACTGAAATCTCATAGAGCCCTTGTGGATTTCCTCCTTCTTCTGCAGGTCTCTTAACAGTCTTTACAGTTTAAGATATGCCCTACCGGTGTCTATATTCAAGAGACAAGGTGTGGTTTTAAAAACTGCTCTACTTATAATAAACATGGATTCAAGTAACTTAAAAACATTCGATGAAGTGTTGTGTGGTTTTAAAGTCATTCCTCTCTGGATAGCAGTGTTTTATGCCTGTAGTGAGAACATACTATGCCAACATTAAAAGACAGATGTTTCTAGAACAAAACAAGTCAGTCATATCTAAGCGTAAAATAAATCCACCATCACTGCTTCTCAAAAAAACCAACAGAAAAACCCAAAGAATAAAAAAGACAATCTCACTCGGAAAAAAGAAGAGGAGAGGCAGAGCGCTTGGTCTCGTGAGTGATGGTGTTACTGCATAAGGCTGCTTTAAGGCAACACACACACACACACACACACACACACACACACACACCACAAACACACACACACACACCACACCACACACACACACACACACACACACACACACACACACACACACACACACCACACACACACACACACACACACACACACACACACACACACACACACACACACAGATAGTTTGTAGTGTTAAGGTGGAGCTGAGGCTGGCACTACTTCTGGATTTGAACCACAGCGCCAGCGCCGTAATCTCAATCACAGAAACACATGAAAACACACATGCAGAGTTTGTGGAAAACGCAGGAAGAGCTTCTTCACACAGAATGACTGCTTGCTGATGGGTATGGAGGTGACAGGAATGTGGAAGGGGGAGGGTCAGACGTTCTGCGTTTTGTACACCGTTTCCCCCGAGGAAAATCTGCGTGAGTTTCTTGCTGCCCCACAACTTCCTCGTGATTGGCCCGAGCGCATCTGAGAAGAGTGGAGGGAGAGGATGAGGGAGAGGGGGGAGAGAAAGCGTGAAGGAAAAGGAGGATGTGATTCAGGAGTGATTAGTTCATCGATTGAAGCATTAAAGAAATAATAATCAAGCTCGATTGACTTTAGTGAGGCAGTTTGAACAGGAAGGATGAAGAGGTGCGATGAACATCCACTAAACTATTTACATTATCAAAACATTGACGTCTACTTGGCGTACGATTTCTAGTTTGCATTATTAGGTTGTGGCTACTGTTAATATGGCTTACATCTGCAGAAGCATAATTAGTTTTGTTTCACAGCATATTTGTTGACGAGTACACTAACACGTGACATAATGACACTTCAGGTAGACAGCAGTGGTGGGAGTTCATCCCAAATATCACACAGATGCCAAATACTTTGAAAACAACAGAACGAGGTACGTCACAGTCGCGTCCGCTCAGCGCTGAAGGAATGTGATGAATCTGTGTGGCTCAGATCTAAATGTGTGTTTAAAGGTCTCCTATCATACTGTTTCCATCAAATCTCACAGGGCTCAGATATATCCAGAGCCTGCCTCTGATTGGCTGAAACACCAAACAGATCATTGCAGCATTACCCATAATCCCTCTGTTTCAGCCCTGTTTCCAAAGTGCTGATTCTCTGTCTGTTACTTTAGATGAAAATAAGGAGCCCTCCCCACGCCCCTCTGAGAGACATTTAGTTACAAAGAACTCAATGGTGCTCTAGGAGGAGATTCAGGGATAAGGGGGGGGGGGGGGGGGGGGGTTACCTTGTTGCTGATTGGCTAATGGTTACACAAGACAAGACATCGTTATGACATCATAAAGTGGCCAAAATCTGATCAGCTCATTTTCAGACAGGTTTTTATAGAAATGATCAAAAAGGAGAGAATCTTTGTTCCTGAAACTTTCAGAGTCTCTTTCCACAGAGGGGACACATGTTGATGTAGAAGAGACATGAAGAAGAGGGGACACATGTTGATGTAGAGAGACATGAAGAAGAGGGGACACATGTTGATGTAGAAGAGACATGAAGAAGAGGGGACACATGTTGATGTAGAAGAGACATGAAGAAGAGGGGACACATGTTGATGTAGAAGAGACATGAAGAAGAGGGGACACATGTTGATGTAGAAGAGACATGAAGAAGAGGGGACACATGTTGATGTAGAAGAGACATGAAGAAGAGGGGACACATGTTGATGTAGAAGAGACATGAAGAAGAGGGGACACATGTTGATGTAGAAGAGACATGAAGAAGAGGGGACACATGTTGATGTAGAAGAGACATGAAGAAGAGGGGACACATGTTGATGTAGAAGAGACATGAAGAAGAGGGGACACATGTTGATGTAGAAGAGACATGAAGAAGAGGGGACACATGTTGATGTAGAAGAGACATGTGGATTTTGCATAATAGGTGACCTTTAAGTGAGGGAGGAAATGAGGCCAAACGGCAACGAACTGGGGGGCAACAACCATCCTGAGAAGGAGAGGTGTGGACGGACGAAGAGGTCTACAGCAAAGGGTGTTCTAGAGTCGCCGGGGTTTATGGGACGTGGGCTGAACACCAGCTGGTCGCGTTGGTGCAGCAAACGGGTTGGAGACCGCGCTCTGAGAGGAGCCATCAGAGGGGAGGCCATGAGAGGAGACCCCTCCAGACTCTGAGCGATGTAGTTCCTCAGCGAGTGCTTTACCTCCGCTGGCTTTCCCACGCCAACGATGATCAGCTTCCCGTCCTCCAGACCCACCAGAACGTGGCTCTGCTCCTTCGTCACCGAAACACAACGCACCGGCACCCTCATGGCCATGGGCTCCGAACACAGAGACAGACTGATGGGAGGAACAACAGCTTATTGTTAATATCTACATTTAAGTGGATGTCCACAAGCCTCCGGGTGCTATCAAAACAGCTGAGCTCTAGTTCTTAGATTTAGTAAGAGAAGGCAGTCATAATGAGCTCTCAGATGCCTGGAGGTTTACCTGTAGAGGTCCCGGATGGTCAGGTATCCCTGCTCTGCCGATGACCACGTATTCTCCTGACACACACATATCAGTCAGCTGCTCCTTCAGAGGCTCGCTGCACAGGTGCTTCCCGTTCACAGAGTAAAGGTGGAGGGCGTTCTTATCCTGGGGGGAGGACATAAAACACTTTGTTAGAAAAATGGCTTTGAGGTTCAATCTCAGGATGCATGTGTTTGTGATCCTCTCCAGAATGGATTTTTTCAACAAAAAAAAAAAATCACACTTTTTCCAAAAAAAATGACTTTTCCCCAAAATTATTACTTTTTTCTCAAAATTATAACTTTTTCTCAAAAAATTGACTTTTTCTATAAAAAAAAAGACTTTTTCTAAAACATCTCAAAATTCTGCCTGTTTCTCAAAATTCTGACTTTCTCTCAAAAATCTGATTTTTTCTAAAAAGTCTAAAACATTCTGAGTTTAAAAAAAAAAAAAGCCTTTTTCTCAAAAAAATTACTTCTATAAAAAAAATTACTTTTCTATAAAAAAAATTACTTTTTCTAAAACATCTAAAAATGTTGACTTTTTCTGAATACTTAAAAATGTAAATTCTCCCTGTTCCCCGGCTTGAGCTTGAATCTCAGGATCCATGTATCTGTGATCCTCTCCAGAATGGAAGTAGTCATCACATACAGAGCATCAACTAGTTCCTGAACAGTGTCCTTCACATGCTGATATCAAGAGAGGGAGTCACACAGTCACAAGATGGAGGAGTAGAAAGCAGTATTCAATGTTTACTTCAGATTAGCTCCACGTCAGAAATGAGCATGCTTGTCATATGTCTCTCTCCACAGAGGCTGAATCATCATGTTAATCCCATAGCTATATGAACAAAGTGTGATTTGATTCACCTTGAGCGTGGCCTTGCCCTCGATGCAGGTGTGTACGAGCAGGTGACCCTCCCAGGACACGGCCAGGTGGAGGATGGAGAGCGGCAGAGAGCTTTCACACGGAGGCCGAAGACAACGCATGTACTGACCGCGCCGCACCGTGTGGATGATCACCGTGCCATCCTGGAAATACACATTCAAAAACATATAAAGTATTCTATTCTACACACACACAGTCTTTAATTAATTTATTAGTCGATTTATTGAACATATTAGAAACAAAACAAACAGCTATTTTTGGAAACGTAATTTGTCATTTGTTGTGGATAATAATAATAAAATTGTGAGGGAATAATTCTGTCTTACTCCTAAGATATTTAACCTTTTCTGTGTGTTGACATTTACGACCAACCCTGGCTCTGGTATCTCTCTTAAGGAATGGGAGGCTCCAGCTATCTTGATAAACCAGTTCAACTCTCGGTCACGAAATGGTTTACAGCTGTGGGAACGCTGGCTTCGAGGCCATTAAGGGTCAGTCGCAAGTGATTCAGGGTGACCAGCTGTTTAGTCTATCTCCCCAAATATGTTGTTTACTCTCTCTGAACTAGTTAAAAGGGCTATCGAGAGAGAGAGGCGCGGCAGATTTGACATGGCAACCCACCAGGGCAGTCAGAATCTCTGGCTGCTCTGTGACTTGTGATATGAATTCTCCGGCCGATACTTGTATTAAATCTCAGTGTTTGACATCAAAGCTCCAGCTCTCCTCGTGTCTCTTTGAGTCCTGACTCTCCATTGCTGCAGAAGTTTCCCTTACAAATATTAGATTTTATTTAAGGCGCCTTTCATGATACCCGAGGACACCATACAAATTGTTAAATATTCTAAGAGGTAACAGCAATAGAACATACCATCATGGAGAAGACAATTAAAGTGGACATGGGTATACCAGGTATCCATCATTATTATTGTGTAAGGCAGTGGGCTCTTACCCTTGATCCAGACACAGCCATGTCCAGCTCCGTGCTGATGCTGACGCTCAGCACCTCGTCTGTGTGTCCGTACAACACCTGCACCGGTTTGGGATTCAGCCCAACGGGAGCTCCACCCTGCAGGAAGCAAACAGAACACACTGACGGTACGTCCACACAGCAGCTTTGAAAAAATCTTGAAAATCTTGGAGCTGGGCGTGTCTGAAAGCTTGGGGATTTTTTGCGAGCAACGCAACCAACAACCAATCACATGAATCTCCCGCCCCCGACATACAAAGCAAAAAAACCCGGGGATTTTAGCGAGCAATATATATATAAACTCCCCAAACAGGCGAAAACCTACCAGTTTCACCCACTGTCTCTGCCACCTCCCTCCATGCCTGGTTCCTCCGGTTTGTATCCCGTTAAATAGTCTGGTCGTAAAGAACCGGGTGATTTGCTACCGTAATTTCTCGTTTGGAATATGAGGAAATGAACTGGCTCTCCCAGCAT